AGTTGTCCTGAATGGAGGGGAAGAGAGGAGGCTGAACATCTGATACATCTGGGAGTGGAATTGCAGAGATGGGATATGTTATGTAATTAGACTCTGCTGGTCTGTCCCGCCTGGGGAATGTGAGACCCATCAGCAGTGACCTCTTCCAATCAACTTAATTGGCCCAATCTCGCCAAGAAAAGCAACAGAATTGGTTTAGTGCCTCATGGAAATAGCTTAGCTCCTGACTATTTATGGCCACTGAACTTAAGGATGGGGGCCTGACTCTGAGCCAGGAGTCGACAGCATGTGCTGACTTCTGGGAGGACTCGGAGGCTTCAGTGGGTTTCCTTGCCCCTCTGCCTCCATTTTTGTCTCTGGGGAGAGTGGCTGTACCAGCTTGCTGCACTGGGTGCACGCCATCCCACATATGTGTCAGATCTTGCTTGCCAAGGACCCACAGTTCAGAGTAAAACAGATCTTCACAGCAACCCAGGATAGATGAGCTTTGCTCCTCTTTTATTCAAGGACAACGGACATTTTCTCTCTTCTCAAAATCACATTGTGGCCTCGTGGTCTGCTGCAGAGCTCATGTTAAAGAATAGAACAATATCTGCTTCTGATCATTAATAACATTGACTTTTGGACCACCTTTCTTCTGAAAAGTTCAGAGATCTTTTACTAATACAGATTTCCATCAGCTATCACCTAGGTTTGACTTGCCTCCATTTTATGGATGAGTAAACTAAGGCTGTTAAAGAAAGTTCTGCTTACACAGTGGGTGAACAGTAGACATGCAGAAGGCATGGAGACTATTTTACCAACTTGCACTATCAGGGGGAAGGGGTACAAATCCTGTTTTTACAAGTTCACATACATATGGTACCTGTATTCAATTGGACTTCATCTCTGAGTATAGCTTTGTACTTCTAAACACACCAAGCTTTGACTGGGAGAAGAGGCATCACAGGCATTGCCATTTTTGTAAAAGGAGAAACAGAACAGAGGATCAGAGAGAAGAGAAAACTTTCCTGAAGCCACACTGCTCCAAAGTGGTAGAGTGGGACTAGAAACTAGACATTCCCAATGGGGCGTCTTCCACCCCCATCACACCATCTTCAAAAATATCTGCCACCAGATCTTCTTCTGACCAATGGCCAAACCCTACATTAATTCTCTCTCATCTGGATGCATTGCCCCTAAAAATAAACAGAATCTCAAAATGGTGCAGCTATAAATTCATGAATTCAAAAATGTCATGAGTCAAATAAAGTCCCCCCCAATATGTGCTCACACAATTAGGACCTAATGAAGTTCCCTGTCACCTGGTCCAGACAAGCAAGTATGTGCAGCCAAAGTGCACCACTTGCCTTGTCCTGATGCAACCACCCCACTAGCTCTCTCAGGATGTGAACCCAATTACCTTCGTGTTCCCCTCACTTCTCAGAGGCTCTAAAGCCTGCAGCTCTTCTATGCCTTTTTTATTTAAGATGCACATCTGAGCATCTTTCCTTAGATACACAGAATTCCTTCAAAAACATATATCCACTCCCTCACAAGAGCCAGAATCATCTACACTTCTCTATTTTCTTGGCTAGCTTTTTCCCACTTACTTTATTCCACTCCAGACACACACACACACACACACACACACACACACACACACACACACACCAGGTTAGCTTTACCCAGAAAACATCAAGGTTAACAAACATTCAACCCTCATCTTCCCTGATCAAGGCTTCACCCTTCTCCAGCTTCCCATATCAGGTTTGTTCCTGCTAGCAAGTAGGCAGTACACACTTATAAACTCATCACCCCGTTGCATCAGGACCCTCACTCTGTCCTGGATGGAGGCAACCCCACCCCAGCTCCCAGTTACCAGCTCCCACTCACTACAAGAAAAATATCTTGCTTCAGCTCCCTCCCCAACACACAAAACTATACATCATCTTTATCTTTATGCCCGCTTTTTACAAAACCACAGATATATTTCAAGTCAGTGTCCCTTTGGCCCTCAAGATCCATAAACATCTCTAGAAACTGAATTATAGTTCTCGAAGAAACCTCAACTAGCAATGAGCTCGCTTCGTTCCTCCTGGCAAAAGTGCAGCAGTCAGCTGAGCTCCAAGACGGAATTTTTCCAGGGCACTGTGCCATGGCCCAGTACCCAGCGATGAGCTGAGCATCCAGTAGTCATTCCATAAATTTTAATTGATAATCAATAACAATTGGTGACAGCAAATTCCTCTATTAGATACAAAATTCATTATACAACACAATACATCATGCATCTCTGCCACGAGGCATGCCAAATATATTCTTCCACTCACTCCAATCCTGTGTATGTATCCTCCCTGATCCCCACAAGGTGCCAACACTCAGGACTATTCCCCTTAAAATGCACATCCCTCATTCTAAGCTCTCTCCAATTCCCTCCTTTCTTGTGAGCTGGGGAGGGGATGGAAGCAAAAACCAACTCAGCATCCTTCCTGATGAGTCTCTCCATAAGTGTCTGAACCCACACTCTTCTGTCCCTCACATGACCCAGTGCCATCCAGCCAGTTTTCCCAGGGCACATTCATAAAGTTCACATTCTGCTCTTCTCAGATAATCTTCTCCCACCTCCACACGTACCCCTTCAGTAATCCTCAGGCACCCAACCTTCCTTCCACACACATCCACCTTTCACTCCCACAAACAGTCTAGCCGCCCTCCCACGCCACACCCACTCCATGTGTCCGTGCAGGCATACACATGCCATCTGTCTTCAACACACTGCACCTCTCCTCCTGCTCCGACGCCCTTCCCAGGCACAGATTTCTTCTCATTAGCTTCACCTATGTTCCCACCTGCTCTCCTACCCTGCCAGTCAAGCATGTGCCCACCTCACAGGCTCCTCAGAAACATCTCCATGGAACATAGGGCAGGTGGAGCTCCTGCTCTCCCCTCCTCCTTCTTCTCTCCCCCCCCCCCCCCCCACACACACATACACTCAGGCAGAAACTTTCTAAAAACCTCCTTCTCTGACCAAGCAGAGCACCCAAGTGTCCAGATATAACTTCCACAGGAAAGCAGACCCATCATAGTATCAAATCCTCCACTTCCAGCTACAATACAGTCCTCACCAACCCACTCCCTCCTGCAACACGTTCCCCCCCCCCTACCTCCCCCATGTTTCCACTTTCCTTCAACACAATTCACAGAGCCTGTTTTCATTTCCCTCATGCCCAAAGCCAGGTCTCTGTGTTTGAATCCCAAGCAGAGGCTGCCGGATTTTATCCCCTGAATTCCAGCGCTCAACTTTCTTTGTGCAACATGTCAGGAAGGAATTGGGGGCCAGCCGGCCAGACCGGGCACAGACTGGGGGATTTCTGAGCTTTGTGCAAGCAGAACCTACAGAAAAGTTCCCTCCATGTTACAACTGTCTCCCATCCTGACATTCAGGGCGGGGAATTTAGATGTTTTTCCTGCTCTCTGTTCTGCAGGGTGGGAGAGCGCATCTCTTTATGAAAAAGCAGGCCGGCCGTCCAGCACCTTCTGTAATCCTCTGAGTTGCAAACATCAGACTCCACGACTGACACCCACCCCTCTGAGCCCCCGCCCCCAGCTCTGCACACACATAAACAAGTCCGCGGGCTCTGCAGCTCCAAGCACAGCGCTCAGCGGCTGCTTCCAGGCAGCTGCCTCCACTCAGACTCTGAACCTGCCGCCCTGCCGCCCTGCCGCCAGAGGTCTAGGCGAGGCGGTCAGGTTCAGGTTCCGTGTTTCCTCCAGCTGAAATCCCCCCCGAACCAGGGATCCATCCCCACGAGTCTGCGAAGGGCTCTCAGCTCCGTGCATTTGAAGCACAAACGAGGAATCCAGCGGCCAAACTCCCCCAAAGAAGCAGCGCACCCACTGCCGCCCGAAAGCAACAAGAAAGCAACAAGCAGAGTCCCCCCGCCCCCCCGCCCCTCTTTCCCTGAACTTTCACCTCCCAAGCATCCCAAATTTCATTAGGATTCTTAGTAGAGCTGTGGGATAATGCATCCAGTTGGACCGTTGTGGGTATTTTTTTAAGTCCGACCTAGCTCCGCCGGTTCCCCGCGCCTCCCAACCTTTCCACACCTCCGCCTCAATTTCCTAGAGCTGGCTGCGAGAGACACTCAGGGTTTCCCCTGGGATGCACGGTCCTTGGCGCCCCCAGCTCCTCCGCCGCCGGGTCCCAGCTGCGCGGCGGGCCACGCGGAGCTCCAACATCTGCTCCGAGACCCGGGGTGGGGTAGCCGCGGGCTGGGTGCCTACCACGACCTGCCCCGGGTGCAGCGCCCTTTCGGAGAAAAGCTTCCCCAGAAGAAGCAGGGGAACTCTCTTGAGCAGGTAGGCTGGCTGCGTCGGGCAAGGAGTCTTGACTCTCCAAACTGGGAAGCCGCCCTCCAGGTCCGATGCTCGGAGTCTCCACCTCCCCCAGCCCGCGCCCGGGCCCCGCGAGCGGAGCGTGCGAAGCGCGCGAGGAGCATGGCGCGGGGGGCGTGCCGGGGAGTGGCGGCGGCACCTCGACCCCCGCCTGGCCGGGGATCGGTGTGGCGCCCCCTTTTTTTGTTACAGGATGCTCCGGGAGCCCTCTCTGCAGGAGCACAGGCGTGTGTGTTGGGGAAGAGGTTGGTGGCGCTTCTGCGGAATCCCTCTTCCCTGCCCTTCCGTCGCCCCCATTTCCCCTCGCCTCCGCCCTTCGTTTCCAATCCGCGTCCCTTAAACCTGATCACTTTCCCAGATATCAGACGTCCGAGGGGCGAAAGAGAGGAAAGGAGAGAGAGGTGGAGAGAGGAGAGAGTTGTGTGTGCGCCTGGGCCCGGGCTGATCCCTGCGCAAACTTCGGGGAAGGCACAAGCCCGGGAAAGTGCTGTAGTTCGTGCAGCTCGATGGGGATGGGGCGGGGGGCGGAGTGAGGTCCCCCGACGCCACTCCACCGTGGAAAACCCCCACTAAAGCCCCCCAAGCCCCAAGCATGCCCACCCAACGTGCCCACCTCCCCTTACCGTGGCAGAAGTAACCATGGCATCCGTGTGACTGTTTCCAGGGACGTCGACATGAAGAGAAAGGTGGACGCAAACTCGGTCATTCAAAGTCCCCCCCACCCCGCCGCCGCCGCCACTCCCCAGCAGTGGAGGGGTGAAAAGGAGAAAGAAAGGGAAAGGGAGGAAAGGAGTTGCTTCGGGCTCTCTCGCGGGGCCGCGCGCGCGGAGCTGCTCCGTGGAGAGAGGAGCCTTCAACTCTGAGTCCCGCGAACATAATCTGCGCGGTTATAACCAGCCAACCCGGCCAGATGGCTCCGCGCTCAGCGCTTAACCCCTTGCGCGCCGCCGTCCCGCCCCCGCGCCGCCCGGCTGGTCCTGCGCCCCAGCGCCCCTCCGACAGGGTCTGGGGCCCGTGGGAGGATCGGGCCATGCCTCCTAGACCCTCTTAGAGAAAAAAAAACCCAAAACTTCTAGAGGAATGAGTAGTCTGCTTCAGTCTCCCCTTGATTTCCCTTTTAGAAACTTAGGGGGGAGGAAACGAAATATTCACCTTTTCACTGCATTTTACATGTGAATGTCTCCAGCCTGTCTTAATTGTTGTTTTTCTTAAACAAGTCTTTTTGCTCTCCCTTTTCTTTCTTTCTTTCTTTCTTTCTTTCTTTCTTTCTTTCTTTCTTTCTTTCTTTCTTTCTTTCTTTCTTTCTTTCTTTCTTTTTAAAGTTTTCTTTACTAAGCAGAAGGGCCTTTCTTGCCCCTTCCCTCTGGGCGGCTTGGGTCTAATGTGTAAACTCCTCCTCCAAGCCTAAGACCCCTCCAGCTCCACATCTCTCCCCACCCCCTCTCTAGCCCACCCGTCACTCCTTCCCCACCCCACAGCGTGAACACGCCCAAAGACCACGGCCCCCCCCCCTCCCCCCGGTGAACCCGCTGCTCCTGGGAACAGTACGCAGGGCTCCTTGCAGGCGGCCAAGGGAGAGCAAGCTAGAGAAGCGCTGGGGGAGAAAGGGTCAGGGGTCTGGGGAACCGAGGGTGCGTTTGTGTGAGGAGGTGCGCGACGTGAAGGGAATGGGGGAGATGGACCGGAGCCTCCCATTTCACCCAGGCTCCAACTTCTTCTAAACCCCCCTCCTTCCCCCCCCCCCCCCCCCCCCCGCCCCAAACTAGGACCCGGCCCTGCAGCTGGGCGCCCGCCCAGCACCCACAGCGCGGGAAGCAGAAAAGGCAAGAAACAAACAGACCTCTGCGTGGACCTCCAAAAGCAGTGCCACGCCCTTCCCCACCCGTAGGGTTTTCGAAGAATGGAACGGGGGTTGGGGGGAGAGGGGGCAACATCTCCTATTTCGAGATCTTTTTAGCTGCCCACTGGACCCCACTTGTGCTGACCGTTCTCTCCGAATTTACCGAGCTCAGTCATCTTTGCTTCCACCCATGTGCCATCGAGAAAGCGGAAAGGGGTCAAGGAGAAAGCCTACTCCCTCCTATCCACTCCTGAGTCGTGGGGTGGCGGACCTCTTCTCTGAACCCCCCAACCCACCCACACACACACTCCCTAGCTCTCTCAGCCACTCCTCACTCCATCTCTGGCCAGCTCCTTTAGACTCACTCGCCTTGGGGTCTGGGGAGAAGGGTGGGGTGGGGAGAGGGGGGAGCAAATGAGTCTGCCCCCGACTCCTCCCTGCCCTGCCATTCCAGGGGTCTAATAAACAGCCCACTCTATGTTTTAGCTGGGGTCTGGGTTCAAAAACACCCAAATTCATTGACTTTTGGGGGAGGGAAAATTCGGCCACACACTGAGAAGAAGCACTTATCCTTATCAGGCCGAACCCCAGGTAGAGAGAAGCTGCCGCGGAGAGACAGGAAGGGGTGGGGAGTCTGGGGGCTGCGTACCAGATAGATTGTACCTGCCTCATCATTATTCTGGCCGGTGGTGGATGCTACCACATCGAAAACAGCTACCAGCGCCCAGGGAGGCCCAGGGCGGCCCCTCCCGCGGTCCCCGGGAGGCACAGAGTCCTCTTTCCGTGCCTCTCTTCGCGCCGAGCTGCTCCCCACACCTGGCGCGCTCGGTGCCGTGAAGGGTCGACTGGGCGTGCTCAGTAGGGTTCTGGTTTTTCTCCCCGGGCTCTGGCCCGCCTCCTAGCCCTCCCCCACTTCCCACACTTGCTCCCCCACCCCCGCCCCTCACTCCAACCCCCGCCCCTCACCCCAGCCAGCTTTCAAAGGAGAGATTCAGGCCCCGGTTTCAGCTCCCCTGGCCCAGTTCTAGGGTCTCCTTTCTGGAGCTCCAGGTCCTCCTATAACCCAGAGACAGCCAGGAAAGAGGGGGTGGGCCCCCGCCGCAGTGAGGAATGGGTTAAACACACGTGAGGGCTGATCGCCCTGCAGCTCCTGGAGAGAAGAGGGGAAGGGCCAGGGGCAAACTTGAATTTGAAAAATCAGAAGGAAAAAAAAAAGAAGAAGAAGAAGAAGAGAAGGCAGCAGTGAGTTTAAGACCCGAATTGGTGAATTTGTTTGGCGTGGATGACAGATGCCTGGTCACTGACTGGCCGCCTCCCTTTGCCAGGAGGAGGCGATCCCAGGAAGAGTTTGTATTGTTCCCCAACTCCAGAGGGTTTTGTCTGGAGCTGGTGGGTCTGCCTTTGCGTGCAATCAGCACGCCTTGTAATATGAGAGGTAACACCTTAATCTTTCCAAATATGTGCGTTACCTTTGGGGGCTGGGAGGAAGAAGGGAGGGGCTGAGGGAAGGAGAGAGAAAGAGTGAGCGAACCTGGTGGAGCTTAGGGTCTTTTTACTTTACTCCACATGGACAGCCACTCGCCCTTTTTCTTTTGTGGGAGACATTTTTCAAGCAATCTCTCCTGAGCAAGCACAATGCCATTTTCTGTACGGTTTCCCTTTCTACTTCAGAGCAGAAGGTTCTCTTCTCCCTCTAAGGAAGACAAGCGACCCACTCCCAGGTCTCCCCTTGGGCTTCCAAGAGGGCATCCAGGTGATAAGAAGAGGGTACCAGAAAGGTGTGTTAAAAAAAAAAAAAAAAGACAGAATGAAAAATTATTGTATGTAATAGGGAGTCCTTTTGGAACTGCTGAACTTTGTGACTTGTAAGGCAGTCTGATTTCTAAATAGAGAAAGAACTTATAGTGGGGTAGATAGTGAAAGCAAAAAACAGAACTGGGAAGTAAACTGGTGAGTTCATGTCTGACAGGCAGGACTAGGTATGGAAATTCATCCATAACTAGGTTGTTATTGTTATTTTTATTTTTATTAGCTAGGCAATCAGCTCCCTCCAAATGGACTCTGTGGCCATGGCCTTGGATCTATTGACTGTATCTGTAGGCCCCTGAATCTTCTTTTCCCCTGCTGCTTCTGAATATAAGGCTCTGACTCCTGAAAGCAAATGGTTTGTGAGGGCAGAAACCAAATCTAGAGTTTGAAAGACCCGTTTCAAACTCTCTCCTAAAGCAAATTTGTAGAGCTTGTGTTCTGCCCACCCTTATCTTTTGCAATAGCACCACTCTGTGGTTGAAGCATTGAACAGAAACATAATGGAAATGGAATGAAATATGCCTTTACCTTCTGAAAACAGCATTCGTCTACGCAATGTTTCAGTTAAGTGGACTATGTGTTGGGGGCAGTACCAACGTGTAGTTTACTCATTGTGACATGTTGACCCAGGAAATAAGAGAATTGGGTCAAATGGCCTCCAAGGACCCTTTCCTTTGTGACTATATGCAGCAAAGACAAGCCTAGTGATTTCCCCTCGTGACCATATACTCAGCCTAGAATATTTGTCTTCTCCTTGTTTTTCTCTTTTCTGTCTTTGAGATTTGCTAAGCTATACTCCACACCTTACCTGAGCGTAAAATATTTGCAAGTTGCTTCCTCTGCTGCTGGAGGGCACTGTGGAGAAGTTTGGCAGAGTGATCGCAGCTACTTTCTCTTCCCCTACTTCATCCATCCCCACCCCCAGTCACCCACACAGCTGCTTGAGTGCTGTTGGAGCCCAAAAGTCTGTTTCTGAAACAATTAAAGTGAGTGCAAAAGGTGTTTGCTTAGGGACTGGGGACTTAAGAGTCAGGAAGGGCTTCTTCTACCTTGCCTCCTGGCATTCAAAAGATGTCTGGTTGCCCATCCCATTACTACACACATATTAAGTGCAGCATTACTAACCAACAGTCACACCAGCTATCATGCCAATTAGCAACTCCACCCAAATGCCCTCAAAGGTCACGTTTGAGGCATTATTCTTTTTTCTTTTTTTTTTCAAACTGGGTGCAGTTGTTCACAGAAACTAAGTGACTTGTCTATGTTTACTTGGCAAGCCCAGTCTTTAGTAAAAGTTTTATCATCTCCAGAAAGCACAGCATTGCTGTTATCAGCATCACTCTCTAAAGAGAGTAGGGATATTAGACAGCACATTCTCTCAGCCTCTGTATCCCCACTGCACTGAATAGTTGAGAAAGCTGCGGCTCCTGCCTATCCGTGACTTTCCCCAGGGAACAGTGACAGATCAGAAACCAGAACTCATTGAAAGAGTAGACTTTGGAGTCTTATAAACCTGGGTCCCACACTGCCTTCTTCATCTAGTATTGGGTGTCTTTAAAGAGGTCCCTGGACTTCTCAGAAGCCATCTGTAAATGGCAGAAACAATGCCAACCTCATAGGAGAATTGCGGGGACTGAATGAACTCATTTATTTAAAAATTCAGCACAGGGCCTGGCACCCTGTAAGCATTAACTCCCAACTTAATAGTCCTTAAACTGGAAACACTGCCACCCCATTGGTGCAGTGTGGTAGCTCAGCCTTTAGGAAAAAACTTGACTCTGGAATGCCCTGTTTGTTATTATAAATCATTAAACTTTTCACTAATGTAACTTCCTGGGTATGTATTTTCCCCTTTGGACAAAGACAGAAAGGAACCAGTAGAATGAAATAGTTGATGTATTTAGAATTCATAAAGATTCCTAATGTGGACCTCAAAGAGCATGAAAGACATAGTCGAAGGATTTCAAAATCCCATCTTATTCATTCTTTGCC